ATCAAGGTTCAAGGCTAGCCCAGGCAAAAAGTTAGCTAGCCAAGACCCATCTCAACAGAAGAGCTGAGTGTGGTACATGCCATAATCTCAGCTATGTGGAAGGAGGGAGGCACAGATATGAGGAGTTTGGTTCAACGCTGGTCCTGAGAAAAGCGAGAGACACTAACTAAAGCAAAAAAGGGCTGGGGGCATGGCTTAAGTGGTAGAGCATCTGCCTATCAAGCTGGAGGTCCTGAGTTCAATCCCCAGTATACCCCCCCCACCCCAAATAAATAAAAAAGATCTAAACCTTCTTTTTTTTTTTTTTTTTTGGCAGCACTGGGGATTGAACTTGCTGGGCAGGTGCTCTTACCACTTAAGCTACCCCGCCAGCCCTTTTTCTGTGATGAGTTTTTCAAGATAACGTCTCCAGAATTGTTTGCCAGGGGCTAGCTTCCAACTGCAATCCTCCTGAGTAGCTAGAAATACAGACATGAGCCACTGTCACCAGCTAAACCAATTTTTTAAATTATTTTTACATTTATTCATATGTGTATACATTGTTTGGGCCACTTCTCCCCTCTGCTCCCCCACCCCTAAACCATTTTTGTCGAATTCAATATTGGTACCATATTATCAAGATACACGTCTGTTGAAAAATAAAAACAAAGATTTTCTCAAAGGGTCAACTCCCCTCCATTTTTAATGATAAATTTCTATCTATCATGATTTTTTTTCCTAGCTTGTATTTATTTACATGAGCTAGAGCTAGAAAACTTATAAACAAAGCAAGCTATACAAAACACACTTTCTAAACCAAAGGAAAATGTTATTTCATATCTAAACAACTCACTTAGAAACCTTTTGAAATGTTGTTAGATTAGAAATAGATTCTATAAATAAAAAACACTTGAGATTGATCTGGGGGCATGGCTCAAGTGGTAGATAGAGCACCTGCCTGATAAGCTTGGAGTCCTGAGTTCAAATTCTAGTACAGCCAAAACAAACAAACAAAACACTTGAGCTTACATGAATACAAACAATAATTCTGGAACTACTGGGCTCAAGTGATCCTCTTGCCTCAGCCTCCCAAGTACTTGGGACTACAGGTATGCAGTAACATAACTGGCCCTAAACAAGGATCTGTGCTTATCAGTATAAAAATTAGACCCATGTGCACAAAGAGAATATTTCAGATTCACTCAAAATCAACAAAAGCCATCCAACATGATACTTGCACGGGATTAAATTTTAAATCCAACACCAAATACCACAGATAAATACAAAAAGCAATTAATAAGATGAACCTTGGGGCTGAGGGTGTATCAGCAGGAGAGCGCGTTCTTGTCTAATATGCGTGGGCCCTAGGTTGGAATACTCCCCCTTCAAAGCTGAACTCAAATCACCCTTCTTTCTTCCCTTTCCCACCCATCAGCAGTAACAATTTTATCTCCAAAATAGGCGTCTCCAAGAAACAGTTCCACTGTCACTCAGTGACCACTATTTTGCACCTGGATTAGTGACAGCTCCAGATCAGTCCCTTGCCTCTCCTTCCTTCCATGGAGCCCAAGAGTTTAAAATAAAGTCCAACTTTCTCTTCTCCTATGACTCCCTTTCCCAAGAGCCTTCCCTTCCCCTCAGCCCAAGCCTTTCAAAGGCTTGCTTCTTCCACATCCTTAGGTCTTAGCTTCATGTTTTCTCAGATGCTATCTCAGGTAAGCCACTTTTCTTATATTCTCTCAACCTAGGTTTATTCCTTCCATAACATTTATTCATCTTGAGGTCCTAGGTTCAATCCCCAGCACTGCCAAACAACAACAACAAAACATTCCAGGGGCTGAGAGTGTATAGCTCAGTGGTAGCCCTGGGTTCTGTTCCCATCTCCACCAGAAAGAAAAAAAAAAAAGAAGAAAGAAAGAAACATTCTAATAAAAAGGATTGAATTAGACAATATAAGCACCAGTCCTCACCTTCTGACAAAGATGCTACAGTTATGAATTTAGGCTAAGCAAAATAAATTAAAAATTAACTATTAAGCCAATGGGGTATGAAACTGGCTTTAAAAGCTCAATTTTGATGTCTAAAAAGTTAAATTACTGAATTTATTCTGTTTACGATGTAAAGAAGCATTACATTAAACTTTCTATTTGGTCAAGGCTCTATAGACCACTAGCCTTCCTTCTCTCTTTTTTTATTTCTCCTAGACCAGGCTGTTGCGCAGGCTGGTCTTGAACCCCTGGGCTCAAATGATGTTCCTGCCTCAGCTCACTGAGTGCCTGAGAGTAGTTGTGAGCACTACCATGCCAAGGACCAATCACTAGTTTTCTATAAAAGGTTAATAACAGGTTAAATCTGAATCATGAGTTTCAGGTTTAGGAGTGAGTGGCATGTAAGATTCAGTGTAACAAAGTAAATCCAGGACTGGAGGTGTGACTCAAGTGGTAGAGTGCTTGCTTTGCAAGTTCAAAGCCTGGGGTTCAAACCCCAATTCCATCAAAATAAATAAATAAATAGGTAGGTAGACAGATAAGATAAATAAATAAATAAATAAATAAAAAAACAAAGTAAATCCAGTCAGGATCCAATTCAACCAGCATTGTGATCTCTTTTAGAGAGGCCAGGAAAAATAAAAAACAGCAACATGTCTGGGGCAGAGGACACAGACCAGAGAAAGAGAAACAATTAAAGCTGAATGTAGCTGGGTGCTGGGGGCTCACACCTGTAATCTTAGTTACTCCAGAGGCAGACATCAGGAGGATTGAGATTCAAGGCCAGCTCAGGTAAATAATTCGAGACCCTATCTCGAAAATACTCAACACCAAAAAGGGCTAATGAAGCATTTCAAATGGCAGAGTGCCTGCCAAGCCAGGCCCTGAGTTCAAACCCCAGTACTAACAAAATAAATAAATAAGCAAACAAACAAACAAACTGAATGTGAGGAGGTTGAGGCAACCTAAAGGGTGAATTTGAGGAGACTTAGGGAACAGCCCTATTTGTGAGCAGACTAGGGAACAACAGGTAGTAGTATTTCAACAGGTGAGAGTGGGGTGGAGGTAAGGTAGTAGATGAAGGAGTCAACAGCAAAGTTAAAGATATAGATAAGTATGGTTACCAGGGAATAAACAGAGCTGCACTGAAGGATGAAAGGGACAAAGACAAAAAATTACATTTGGTATCTAAGACACATGTATGGAGAATTTAGATTTTGTGATAAGGCGAATCGTCTGTGGCATACTTTTCTTTCTCCCTATTAACTCATACCTCTTGAAACAGTGGTATCATAATACCTGTGTCACTTAATGTGAGCACATGCCTTGCACGCAGCTTGGCTGAACAAAGGCCTGGAATTAATTACATAATTCACTTTCACAAATTAGAGACATAATTTACTTCAACACATCACCAATCTCATTACTGTGTATTCTAAGATTCTCTCCAATCCCTTATACCAGAATTACATCGTGCTACAAGGTGATTGCACCTACCAGCATCTGTTAGCACCTGCAAGTTTCACCAGATTCTTGAGTGCCCTGATCTTTGTTACACAAAATTTGATTTATTACTTTTTCTTTGTTTTTAAAAATCCATTTGGTTCAGCAGTTAATCTTACAGTCATTATACCATCACAGCTTTGTTTCTTCTTTCTATCCCACAGAAGGAACACGCTTTCGGTTGGTGTACTTAATTAATAATAATGTAATTACTTACATATTATTAATAGTAAATAATATAATAGCTTTTAATATTTAAAGTTCAGAGTAATATAGCAATCTATAATCAGAAACAGCTCGCCCTTTGAAAAACCTACATTAATCCTCAATCTTTTTCAAATTGGTATTTTAAGAAATAAACTGGGCAGTGAAATACCTTCTGTCTTAAAAATTCTGGATAAATTTTTGACTCAAATTTGCTATTATTTAAATAAATCTGATAAAGTAGTCATTGAGGCAAATAATATAATGCATTTTACTTGGGAAAGAAAATGACTAATGATCAGTATTGCTTTGGGTTTTCTAGGATTTTTTTTTTGGCGGTAATGGAGTTTGAACTCAGGGTCTCACGCTTGCTGGGCAAGCTCTATCAGCCCTTGGTTTTGTTTTTTGAGACAAAAACATAGCGTTCCCTTCTCTTCCAGGCTAGCCTCAAACTCTCTATCCTTTTGCCACACCCTTCTGTAGTGCTGGGATTACAGGAGTGTACCACCAAGCCAGCTTCACTTCGGGCTCTCGATTTTAAAACAGATTTTAAGCCACCAGACTTAATACAAAAAGTGTAACTGAAACTGAGTATAGTATTAAGGTAAGTACTATTCCACCTTGATAAATAACCAAATTGATCTCTAGTCCACCTTGGAGTGGGAGGAACATAAATATTCCTAAAACTGTCCTCGCCAAAGACAATGCACCTTCCTTTTTTCTTTGTAATTTTACACACACACACACACACACACACACACACACACACACACACACACACAGATATAAAGGGGCCGGCTTCAAATTTTTTTGGCATCAGAATACAGAATATCGATATACAGTTCTGATACACAGTTACAGGTTTTTTGTTTCTAAACGCTAAAGCACTTTCAATCTGGCAATTGTTCTAAAGACTACAATCCAGTTCAGAGATCCGCAGGGTGTCCAAAAACCTTGAATGGTGCGCAAACGTGTGCACGATAATTCTGGAGCGCAGGGGGAGAGCAGACTCGCCACAGCTGCCTTTAGACTCTCAAAGAAGTCTATGATCCAAAGAAGGATTGTTTAAAAAAAAAAAAACAGAAAACAAAAAAAACCCCTCTGTATAACAGCCAGCTAAGATGACAACAAAAAACCCGAATATTTGAACTATGCAACCATTTTTTAAAGCATCCTTTCATCCAGTGAGCCAGATCCTGACATTAGCCTTCTGGGAAAAGGGCTCAACCCCCGCCCCCATACATACACGGACCGTCCCCATTCGCGACCCTCCTCCTGGGCCCGGCGGGTTGCGCGCCCTGGAAGGGCGGGCGGGCACTCGCGTACCTGGGCGCTGGCTCGATCAGGGTGGTGGTGTCCAGGTAGTGGATCTTGTAGAACTCCAGCAAGGCCGGCAAATGGTCAAACTCCTGATCCCCGATCTTAAAACGGCGGTTGGGCAGGGAGTTGATGATGTAGTGAGAGACTCGCGAGTTCTCGGACACCGACAGCACATAGTCCCCGGGGCAGGTGGAGGAGTCCCGCACTAGGAACATGCCGTGGCGCTGGCCCTGGAGCCGGGTCTGCGCCTCCTGGCGAGACACAGGTCCCATGTACCAGGCGGAGCGGTCTGAGGAATCAAACCTGGCGGAAGACATGGTGTTGGGCCGGGGGGTCCGCGGAGGGTCTGGGCGGCGGCTGCTCTTGCAGGCTTCTTGTTCTGGAAGCCTTTGCCGGCAGACGGCTTTGGAGCCGAGGAAGGGCTTCTCCGCACACCTCGAGGCGCGCTTAGAAAGCTGGGACAGGTCCTTCCTCTCCGCTCCGGACCCGCAGCATCCTCCACCGCCGCCCGCCTGCTCCGGGGCCGCCTCACAGAGCGAGCCGGCCCGGGGAATGCGGGACAGAGCCCTGGGGTCGAGGTGAGCAAAGCCGAGCCGCAGCGGAGGCCGCCCCGGAGCTCCTAGACTGCCCGGCGTATCGGGGGTGGCTCCGGCGAGTCCCGACCTGAAACGCGCAGGGTCTGCAGCGAACCCTGCCGTCACACTAAGCACCGGACCCCAAGGAGCCTTGCGCCTCCGGGGCGGCTTTGCTCAGCTCGTTCCCAATAGCCACAGCAACAAAATGGCGGACGTGGGAGAAGCCACCGGCCACCTCCCCCTCCGCTCAGCGCGTTCCGCCTGCGCACGCGCGCAGCACAAGCTCCCAGCGGCCGCCGGGGTCCTCCCCGTGACGTCTGTCAGCGCAGCCAATAGGAAGCGCGGTCGCGAGAGCCGGGGCGTGAGCCATTCGCGCTCGCTCCCGCGTTCCGGGAGGAGGCTGAGAAGGCGGTGGCGGCAGGCACTCCCTTCCTGGGTCGCGGTTGCGCCGCCGGGGGCGCTGCTGCCGCTGGGTCTCCGAACGTTGGCAGGAGAACAGCTGGAGCCAAGAGGGAGCGGCGTTTCGAAAACCTGCTTCTGGGAACAAAGCGTAATGTGCCGGCCGAATTGCAGGCCAAGGAGGCGTGGCCCTGACCTGGCCGGCCCTGGGGCCCGAGAGAGACTCAAGGGCGGACGTGCCTTAAGGGGCCTCAACAAGGGGATGACCCTCGAGCTGAGGTGACCACCAGCAAGGTTACTGAATGACGCATGCTCCAGGTGGCCTAATAGGCTAAGAGACCCCAAGTGGCTAGGTGACCCGATTGGCACAAATTTCGGGGGGAAGGTGACAATTGGATTGACCGGAGTAAATGGTCTAATCTGGCCATCGTGGGCTCGGTAGCGCTTGCAAGAAAAATACAAACGGTTTCTGCGGCGTGGCATGAAGACTTCTCTTGCTGTGGATTCTACCTGCTGCTCTCAGTTAGTTTCCTTCCATTCTCCGTTGCTTACTCATCTCCAGCAGCTTATTTCCTCCCTCCAACCTCACTAAAATGTACATTTTAAGCGAGCAGAGATCCTGACTGTCTTGTTCACCTCTGGCCCTTAGTGGATGCTCAAATATATGTTAGATAAATGACTGTTGTGAAAAATCATCAGGTCACTAATGCTTGATTATTGGTAGTAACATCCCTGAATTGTACGGACAAGAAAACATGTCCCAACAAGAAGAAAGAGAGAAGCAACCCTACTTAGCTCTCTCTGCTAATCAAATGTCCTTTTGGCCGTTTGAATCCTCCAGGTTTAACACATCCTGGAAATCCTGGATTATAGGGTGATTGGTGATGTCCCTCCTAGAATAAACTAAAAAGGAAATGTCAAGGTCTAATTCTTTTTTGTGACTTAGTATAAGCATGTTTTCACTTGTTCCAAAGATCAAAGATTTTTTTTTTTAATGGTGCTCACTAGCAAGCATTCCTCCACTTGCGGAAAAATGAATTAGTGTCAGGTGCAGTTTGCCCCAAATTTAAAACTGACTACTTGAGTTCAAATCCGGACTCAGTTGACTATCTGGGTGACCCTGCACTAGTTACTTAAGCATCTTGAGGATAATAATAGCACTTACCTCCTAGGTAGAACTAAATGTATTAGCTAGGTATGCGGTGCAAAACTGTAATCCCAGCACTCAGGAGACTGAGGCAGGAAGATCTAGAATTCCAAGATAATACATTAAACTAATTAGAATAGTACCTGGCACATATTAAGCATCATATAAGAGTTTTCCATTGCTACTATTCATTCTTTCAGTCTCTACCTCTTTGGTCTAAAAGTGTGAGCAAATCTCTCCATGGGTGGGTGAGAGTGGGGAGAAAAATTTCCACTTGAATTTCTAGCTCCTTTTCATTGCTAGATTTATTCTAAAAGTAGAACAAAATCTGGCTGTAACCTATGATTAGTATACAAACATTGAGGTCACAGCTTAAATTAATTCTTAACATATTCTACTGTAATTGCTTATGAGTGCCTCTTCTTTTCTGATCTGAGCATTTGGGGGCAGACTATAGTTTTATGTTTTTTTATTTTCACTGTCTACCACAGTGCCCAGCACATAAAACTTAATTTTTTTAATGTAAATGGATGGAAAGAAGCATGTAAAAAATAAAGATTTAGCAAAGGTAAGGTGGCTTTGTTTTCAGTTGTTTGTTTATATATATAAACAAATATATATATATATACACCTTGAGCCACTCTGCCAGCTCTTTTTTGTGATAGGTTTTTTTTGAGATAGGATCTTGAGAACTATTTGCTGGAGCTGGCTTCAAATCATGATCCGTCCTCCTGATCTCTACCTCCTGAGTAGCTAAGATGACAAGCGTGAGGCCACCAGCACCGAGCTGTTTTCAGTTATTTATATAATAATTTAAAAAGATATATTTGGGGCGGGCTTGGTGGCTCACATCTATAGTCCCAGCTATGTGGGAGACTGAGGCAGGAACATTACTTGAAGCCAGGAGTTTGAAGCTAGCCTGAGTAACATAGTAAGACTATCTCAAAATAGCAACAACAACAAAAAACCTTCAAAGTTTATTATCCCCATATATCCCTCTTAGATTAATCTTCCATATGGATTAAACTTTGTATTTCACTTTCCCCTTTTCTGTCAGTAGCATCACTGTTTTCCTACTTTAGAGGCTTAAAATCTGAATAATTTTTACTTAACTGAAGTACTCAATAATAATGCTAATTTACATGGTGCTTTTCAATTCACAAAGCTTTGTAGAATCTATTGTTTTATTTAATACAACAAAAGTCCCATCATGTATACCTTTATAGGTAATCAAGAGGCTCAGAGAGGTTCAGTGACTTCCAGTTACTTTGCAAAGAGGCAATGCTTGCAATTTCTTTCTTTTTTTTTTTCTTGCTGTACTGGGGTTTGAACTCAAGGCTTACACCTTGAGCCACTCCACCAGCCCTTTTTTGTGATAGGTTTTTTTGAGGTACGGTCTCATGAACTATTTTGCCCAGGCTGGCTTTGAACCTCCATTCTCCTGATCCCTGCCTCCTGAGTAGCTAGGATTACAGGTGTGAGCCCACCTGTGCCTATCCATTTCTTGCAATTTTAAGCCAGGTCTTTCAATTTGAGATCAAAGTCCCATATGTCACTGTGACAACAAGACTGCCTATAATTTAGTCCATTTCCTTTGTATTACAGACGGGAGAACCAAGGCCCTTCAAAGTAATTTTGGGAGGATTTTGGAGGTTGAACACAGGGCCTTGCACATGCTAATAACGTGCTCTACCACTGAACTATGCCATTAGCATCATTCACAGCAAATTCTAGTTCTAGAAAGAAATATCAGTACAGAAATAGGATGGCTGAATTTGTCCCTTAGCTTGGATTTCAGATGATACTGCCATTCTGCTACTAGATTCTCTTTGAGAATTTTTTAAAGATAGACCAAAATACATCTTCTTTTGCTTCAGAATAGAACAGAGGGGAATAGGGTGTGACTTAGAAAAGGTAAAACAAATATGGTTATGTCTCGTTGATAATTGTTGAAGCTGAATGACATGAGAAAGAGGTAATTATTTTTATATATGGTTGGAATTTTTTGTAATAAATTCAAAAATACATTTGTGTTAGACTTTTTTTTTTTTTTTGCTGTGACAACTATCTGAGAGAAACAGTTTAAAAGAAGGAAAAAGAGTTGCGTGTGTTGCATCATGCCTGCAATCCCAGCTACTGAAGAGGCAGAGGTAGGAATATTGCAGTCGGAGGCAAGACAGGGCAAAAACGCCAGGCCCTATGAAAAACTAGAGCAAAAAGAACTGGGAGCATAGCTCAAGATGTGGAGTGGCCCTCAGTTCAATTCCTAGTACCACCAAAAAAAAAAAAAGGGAGGAAGAAGTCAGGCATGGTGGTGTATTCTGTAATCACAGTGCTTGGGAGGCTTAGGAGGATTGAGAGTTCAAGGTTAGTCTGGGCTATATAGCAAGACCCTGTCTCAAAAAAGCAAACAAAAAACTAAAAGGAGGAAGGATATATTTTGGTGTATGGTTTCAAAGGTTTCAGCGTATGGTTGACTTGCTCCATTGCTGTGGACCTGTGGTGAGGCAGAACACCATGGTGGCAAGGGCACGTGCCTGAGGAAAGATGCTCATCTCCTGGTGGCCAGGAAGAAGATAGCATTACTATGTGAGAGGGCCCCCTCCTTCCTCCCCTTTTAGTTGGCCCTCTAGCCTATGTGATGGTGCTACCCACATTCAAAGAAGGTCTTCCTCCCTTAGTCATCTCTAGAAATGCCCTCACAGACATACCCAGAGGAGTACTGTACTAGTCTCCTAGGTGTCTCTCAATCCAATCAAGCTGATGATCAAAATTAACCATCACAACTTTACTTTATTCCTCTTTAACATACCCCAGACAAGCTTAAAGAAACTTTCCAAAAGCCAGGCACTGGTGGCTCACGCCTGTCAACCTAGCTACTCTGGAGGATCACGGTTCAAAGCCAGCTGGGGCAAATAGTTCATGAGACCCTATCTTGAAAAAACCCTTCACACACACACACACACACACACACACACAAAGGCTGGTGGCTCAAGGTTGGGTCCTGAGTTCAAACCCCAGTGTCGCCAAAAAAAAAAAAAAGAAAGAAAAAAGAAACTTTCCCCAAAAGAGTATCTAAATGCTAAAAGATAACAAAATCAAAGTAGAGATACAGCATGCTAATGTAAAAAAGAAGGGTTTTATAACATAGAGGGTTTGTAAAATGTAGATTCATGATTTTGCCTTATCTTCCTCATTCTCAGGTTTTCCAAGTACTATTAGATTCCCATCTTCTAAGATAATTACAATCTAGACTCAAAGGACTGATCAAGCTTTTTTTTTTTTTTTTTTTTTTTAGCAACTTGTCTGGTTTCTTTACCATCTAGTCTTTAAGCTTCCTTTGCAGAGGCTACAACCTCGGAACCCACTGTTGACTTTCTGTTTCCTACCTGGACTGGCCCAACCCTTCAGGTTATGGTTAAGAATAGGCATATTCTTAGATTACTACCTCTTAGATTAAACCTCTTAGATTACTACCATACAAAAGGCACCAGAACAAGCTTCTGACTCTTCCTCCTACCCTCGATTCCTTTTTGCAATGATGTTAATGATAGAAGGGGTATGACAATGTAGATTTGGAATTAGATGATGTATTCAATTAATTGATAGTATCAGCAGTCATATGCTATCTACACAAGGAGTTAATTGACCTGTTCCATTTCTATTGCATTTACTAACCTGATTCCTTGATAGAAATAAA